ACTGTTAGATTATTTTTTTGTATGGATGTTCAAAAAGGAAATAATTGCGAATTACTGACTGACTATTTTTATGATATTGGAAGATGATTAAAACTTAAGTTCAGAATTAAAAAAAACAACAACATTAAGATATGACATTAAACAGGTAAGAAAATAAAAAATAAAAGGAAAGTACTAAACACAAAAGTATCATTTACAAAAAAGAAACAAACCTAAATACTAATTGCACTGTTGGTGTTTTTTCCGTATTTCTTTTAATTTTAATTTTTTTGCGGACATTTTAAGAGGGGAGTTCAAGAGATATTTTTTATAGTTCTTGACCTCTGACTTCACAAAAAATGTTAGTTTCATTACGTTTTAAACATTACGCTTACAAAATACAATTAATTCTTGAATTTACTGACTTCAAAACCTAGAAAAAACATTGAATTTTTAAAAGATTTTTAAAATTTATTTTATTTATTTAAATTTTTAAAAATTTTCGTCTATAAATGACGGTTCGATGTGTGACGAGTGAACGCGGCAATGATTTTATTTAAAAAAAAAAAAAAAAAAAAGCTAAAAAGTTAATATACGGAATTCATTTTCAATTCGGATTAGCTTTTTTTTTTAAAGCTATTCTTTTAAAATTCAAGTTTAAAAAATTATATTGGAATTATTACATTTTTCGGGTGATGGTTAGAAAGTTTATGGCGGTGTAGGTAATTTTAAAAACTACTTTGAACTTTATGGTTCTGGTAAATCGATTAAATAAGGTTAAAAAATCTAATAATGAAACTGAAAGGCTCTTCACTTGCTTGAGTGAGAGTAAAACAAGTTTTTAAAACTAATTAATTATTCATTTGCAATTTGTAAAATAAGGTTTACTATCAAACTTTTTAAAATGTAAAACTTAAGTAAAAAAAGAAAAAGAAAAAAGAAAAAGAAAAAAGTTTTCAAAAATATTTTTTTTTTATTGAAGACACAAACAAATAATACTAGAAAATTCCGTAACCTTATTCCCGGGCCCCCATCCCATCAGTAATGTAAATGTGATGGAAAAAAAAAAAAAAAAAAAATACAGTGAAATTCTTCTTAATCTTAAGCACTATTTAATTTTAAGTAAGAAAAATGGAGCTCCCAAAAATAAACAAACAAGCTCACAGGATGGAATAAAGAAGAACCTTGACCAGAAAAGAAAAAAAACACTGCAACAACTCACCTGACGTAACTCAAGAAAGTTAGACAGAAAGGCAATAATCACATTTAGTTGCAAGAATTTCAATTAAAAACAAAACTGATGCATTGACCCCCCCCCACACACACACACAGCCAATTCAATTCATTTACAGACTTGGAACATTGGCGAGGAAGTAAAAAAAAAAGAAGAAAAAAAAGGTAATATTGTTAGAAAGGCTAATAGCCACGTAAATGAAATCGATAAATAAATTTAAAGTAGTAAAGCATTTATCCAAAAATAAAAATAAGAACTATAAACGACCATTATTAACCCCCCTTTTTTTTTTCTTAAAAAGCTAAAATAACCTAACAAGCTACAAGAAGTTTTTAGTTTTAAAAGCCAGTCAGAAGCTAGCATCTGCTACTACTTACTACTACAATGCAGACTAAGTCCACTGCGTTAATTAATTTCGAAATTAATTTGCTGTCTTTGTTCTTAAAAAATGTTTTTTCAAATTTAGCTGGTATAGAAAACCTTAAAACATTATGTTTTGCTTTTAGGCATGATTAGGACAATTTGTGTACGGATGTTTCATTTTAAAAAAAATAATGCCTGACTGCTAGAGGATGAAGAATGAAGGAAGATGTTTCATTCATTTCACACATCAGTGATGTTTAGTTTACAAGAATTACTCAAGGAATTCATGGCACAAACAAAAATGAATGCCAAGACAAATCTCGCTTATACATGCGAGGAGGTGTATCAATACTTTTAAAAATGTTCTATTTATTAATGTTTGTTGTTCCCCCTGCATAAAATTGTAGATTTTTGATTATTAGGAGTTAAGTGTCTTCTTTTCTTTCCGCGACACGTGTATTATGACTTGCAAGCTGATTTGATTCAAACATTGAAAAGATAACTGTTAGTGTTGATTCTTAATTTTACGGTTGAGTTTTCCAACATTTCGCTATTATGTCATTTGTTCAGTAAAGAAAGACAGTGTGTCTGTAAGTTCGAGCTTGTAAATAATTGAGCTTATAGGGAAAAAAGCCAGTCAATAACACGACACTTATAGAAGATTCTTCCAGGAAGACTGAAAGAAGAGTTTTTTTCTGCTATTCACGTTTCAAATTTAAAAATATGCCTGTTGAATTGAGTCATTGACATTATTATTTTTTTCAATAAAAAGTAAAGAAAGACTCTTCAAGCTAACGAAATAACGACACATTTGGAATGGATTTTTCTAGATTTCAAAAATCATGCCAATACTACTGCTGGGTTTTGTTGAGTTGTTACGTTATTTCAAATAACTCTTTTCGTCAGAAAAACTGATAAAAAAAATAAAAATAAAATAATACACCAACCAATAGACTCGTCATCTTGTGATCATGAAGATTAATTAAAAAAAAAATTATCGCCTTTTGATTTGAGTAAAAATTATCCAGGTCGTCTCCATTGAGACGATCGCAAAATTTATATAAATTGAATTTAAAAATACTTAGTTCCTTTTTTTTGTGTGTGTGTGTGAGAAGGTAAAACAGAAGATTTGCATTAACAAACTGCATCGTCGTGAAATTATTTTAAATTACGCGATAAAACAGATAAAGATAAGTAACCGTCGTTCTAATTTAGGAACTAATTAAAAAGGTAAAAAAAAGGTAATTGTTCGATTGCAACGATAAAAAAGATTAAAGAAAAAAAAGAAATACCAATGGCGTTCCGAATGATAAACATTCAATTTGTATATCACAGAAAATAAAAATTAAATTATCAACATCAACGATTTTTACTTAGTGATATCTACACAAAATACAAACAAAAAAAAAATAATGAAGACCGAAGAGGGATCGGTTTATGATACACTGGATATTGTATAATGATCCCCCTCTTTGTTATCGCTCCCCCCACACACACACACACACAAATCAATACCCAGTTAATTAATCCCTATCCTCATGGATGAAGAAAATGTTAGACACAACAATAAAATATACATTTTTTTCTTAAATAAGCAAATGTGATAAAAATAATTTATTTAACAAAGGACTGTTCTAAATGAAATTTAACAAGGGAACGATCCATTTCATTTACCGAACGCAAAGGATTTGGAGAAAATTAAAGAACCACCTTTTAGGTGATTAGACAACATTGAAATATTTAATGTATTTTATTTTTATAGATTTAAAGAAAGGTGTTGTTGATGATAAATGATTTAACATCAGTACGATCAAAATTATAATTTCAAACAAAAATCCAGATGGTAATATTCATTAAAAGTGTTGAAGGTGATCGTTAAAACAATGATAGTGAGTGTACTCACTACTGTATTCAAATCCCAAATAAAATGGATTTGAAATGTTACACTTCAAAACTGAAAATTAATAAATCAGTTTATACAAAGTTATTTAATCAAACTTCATAAAACAAAAAGAAAATGGAAATTTAAGTTAATAAATACAGTTTTTTTTAAATAATTACGTTGAAAGTGACTTGTTTTGATGACCTGGTTGGCCATCCGTATTATTTCCTGGTGAGAGAAAAAGTGGATCAAATTGAAAATTAAGTATTTCTTCATCAGTGGGAAATGTCATTTTTATTGTTTTTAATTCTATGATGAAAGCGAAGGGTTGGAATTAGATAGTGTTGACAAATATTCAATTAGAGCTGAAAAATTATTTGGTAAAATTCATAGTACGCCAGAGAGCCGATGAATGAAATGAAATGCTTCTCTTCTAAAACAAAAACAATAATTAGGATTGTTACTTTTTTTTTTTATAAAGCATTTAATTTTAAATCAACATAAATCTCGTATGCGTACATAAATTTTTACGGACATCTCATAAAAAGGAACATGTTGGAAGTTTATCGCGAGAGAATTTCAAAAACCAAATCTCAAAATAAAGGGTAAAGAAAGACTAAAGAAGAAATCATAAAATGGGTTGTCACGTGACTATGTTGTCAAATGCCCGTTCTTTTTAAAGCCTTTTTAAATAAATCTTGTGAAGCTGTCATTAAAGTTTATGGGATCAGTGAGAAAGTTAGAGTCTATCTTACAATCTTAGAAAAGTTATCAGATTTCAAGTGTATTGAAGAAAATCAAACACATCAAAATTTACAAAACAAGAAACTTGATAAAAAAAATAAAACGAACTGAAAATAGCCATGATTATACGAACAGCGGTGAAAAAAAAAACTAATGTTTTCCAAAGATTGTTATTGCAGAAAAGTTTCCTTAACAAACATTTTTAAGTTAAAAAAATGCGATCAACTCAAGAGAGTTTTAAAATAAATGTGACCTCCGATGAAGAAAAAAAAAAAAAGCAAAACGTGAATGATAGTGTTTTCGATAAAAAAATTATCGAGAACTTTAAAAACAATGAAAAATGCTTAGCTTTTTTTTATTATTAAAAGAAAAAAAAATGAAAATCATAAGTAAAGGAAAATGGCAAAACAGCAATAGTACCCCTCGAATGCTCTCTAATTTTATTTATTGATTTTTTTAATGAAGTGGTTCCTCGAGGTGTTTGAGAAAATAAAGGTGAAAACAAGAAATAAATTGAAGAATAAGAAACTAAAATAAAAACAATTATTACAGTTAACCCACTGAAAGGAGAGATACATGATATGCTGTCATGACAAGAGCTTTATTTTTATTTATTTTTTTGAGCATGTTTTTCCTCAGAGCTTCTAAGAAGAAAACCAGGTAGAACGACCAAATTAACATTAGTAATTAGAGAGGACAAATAAAGATTGGAAAATATTGTGATGATGATAAGAATAATCATCACCATCATTGCCATCATAAAGAAAAAAAGAATTAATTCTCGATCATTCAACTTACAATGCTTACACTGGCCTTTCGCAATTCTCGATTCTCCTCCTGTAGGGTTTTACACTTGAGTTTGTACGTCTCCAACTCAACTTTAAGGACCTTATTCTCCTGCTGTAGAGAGTCAATTCGTTTTGTGAGCAATTGCTCGACCTGAGCTGGCGACGGTGGCTGCATACTCGAACTACCGCTACCGCTACCGCCAGCTCCATCTAGAGAGCTCGTATCACTCTCCAATTCACTCGCGCTGTCCGCCATCATGACTACTACTTACTAACCGACCAACGCTGCCGCGACTTCTGTCGTTATTGTTGTTGTTGTTGTCTCTGGGTTCTAGATTACCACTACAACTACTATAGCTAATCAATACTATTGGCCGGGGACGACTACATACCCAAGCTAGCTGATATTGTTTTCATGTTGATCGTGATGATGATTAACTGAACTACTGGCTCTGCACAGCCTAAGTTTCGTATCTGCCTATTTCACAAACGTACAAAGCTAGCAACTTCTTTTGGTTGTTGGTAGTGCAGAAGTCTGGCGAAAAAAAATCTGTGGAAATTTTGAAGTTAAGTTTTCAAACTGTATTAACACCAAGTGACTTGTCGAAAAAATTATGTCACTTTCCTAACTACTTTTTAAACACTAGTTTGTAAACGAAACCCTACTTTCGGTCATCAACATTATTGACTTGAGTTGACGATCATCTAGCGAATGTAGCTCAGGTAAAAAGAGACTAGAGAGAGATACTGAATTGGTGAAAACTGAAAATCATGATTACACCATGCGAGATACGTCTATAAGAAACTAAGAGACTAAAGAAAAGATGTTATTGTTAATGTTAAGTAGCTTTTTTTATCAAAGTATTTAGAATAAATTGCTAATTAATTAAATTAGTTGATTTAGAAATGGCGTCAAAGAGAGTTTATTTTAAAATCATGTGTTGGTGAAGCTAAGCCTGTTACCATGAGTACATCAAGCCGACCCTTTGCTCATGTGACAACATAATTTTTGTTCTGGAGTTTGGTATTAAGTCAAAAATATGGAATGCCCAGTTTCAATGAGGATTGAAATCCTTTGCAATGATTGCCATGTCAGCATGACACCACTGATGAATGTTATTGTTAGTGTTAAAAACTGATGGAGTAGAAATAGTGAATTACCATACATTTGTGAATCATCAGTGCTAAAGCACAACATTACATCTCAATCTGATAATTTCATTCAGATGTTAAGAAGATGGTAAAACAGATGACTAAACTTGAGCTGCCATGATCAACTTTAAAAAATAGGCACTACTGGCTTATTCAAGCCTTTTTTTTACTAATAATAAATGAGATTTCATTGAATTCACAAGAAATAAGTTAGCAACCATTATTCTTAAGAGCAAAAACAACATTTGTCAAAGAAAATGTAGAGACGTTATTCTTTTTTTACACCTGAAGGTGAAAGGGTATTTGTGCTAATTAATAGTGATTGGTTTTCAGTTTCTGTTTAAATACTTGTTGGTCAGTTCATGAGAGGACATCTATTTATCAGATAATAACTATATATATATATATATATATATATATATTTATTACTGTATAGATACAATAATTTTGGCACATGGCCAAAGGGGAAGTGGGGAAAAGGCTGGTCTTCACTAACTATCCTCGTCCTAGTTAATCACAATCACAACCCATTCATCCAATACAAAAGAACTCATCCATCTCCATTCAATTCTACATATACCACAATACCACATATTCACAGGAGGGGGAACCTACAAAAATCACCCCATGATATAAAAATCTCAAAATGTTTAAATACAAAAATATATAAAAATTTCATGAAACATGAAATGAGGGTGGGATTTTTATAATGAACCCAGTAAACTAAACCAAAATTTAAAACAAAAGCAAACTAAAACAAAACAGATGTTAGTAAGACCCATCCACCCCTCAAAATAATCAGAGTGGCGACTGTATTCTGACGATAGACAGAATCAAGCAGCGCACTGACTAATGGAGTGAGGAAGGAAAAGATAGATAGTGGAGTGGGAAAAAAAAAGTCTGACCCAGCCGAGATGAAAAAGGGGACCAAAAACAAACTGGGGAGGTTGGGAATCTCAACCTGAATCCTAAAAAAAGAGAATGCTGGGAGCAACACTTATTCACATTAACTAGGAAAACATAAAACATTCTAGCTTAACCAGGGGAGAGTTTGCAGGAAATCACCCCGTTGTGACCAAGAGGACTCAAAAAAGGAACTCAAGACTAACTTTTTTACACAAACCAAGTTCGCTACTTTCACACACCTTTAGCTGAAATCTGTCAATATCAAACACTTTCTATCAGTTCTGATCTTCACCTTCAGCTGATGCTGAAAGAATCTGACCAGAGCCTGATGAGAATAGCATTCATATCACAAGAATCCCTCCATCCGTGATGTCCAAATCACCATTCAAGCCACAGTTAGCAGCGTCAGAAACACCATTGATTTCTCACAAGAATATGGGGGCAACATATTATCGCACACATATGCAAGATTGATGTGCACAAGAACATCGGGAGTGATACAAGCTGTCAGATCACCAACATAGTCCCAGAAAGGGCACACCTGAGGACAATGGTAGAAGGTGTGTGAAACCATTTCTTCTAACCCAAGGTCACACTGATGACAGTCGAGCAAATCCACCCAGCCCCATCTGAAGATCCTGTCATTGAGAGATAGCATATTCCGAATCAATCGCCAGGGAAGCGAAAACTCAGAGTTACTGAGCTACTTCACTGCTGGTGCCCAAAGTCAGAAAGAGCACAACTCGGCCAATGACAAGCTGAACCGTCCACAGAGTGGATCCTTCGCAACCCCCTCCACTACATATTTACAGAACCATATTGGGGTATGGTTGTGCCATTGTTTGCAGTAAGTATAGCTGTTTCCGAATGTGTGGAGCCAAGAAATGTTAGTCCATCTGGGTTGACATTTTTGGGAAACATTTCTGAAAAATACACAAGGGGTGTGTGTTCCCTTTTGCTCAAGAGTCAACTTTTGCCTTTAGCTTGTGGATCCTTGATCTGTTGGAGAGTGTTATATTTAAACTGCAAAAGTTTCAGTTTGGGTGTCTCTCCTATTCTGTTGTTCAACTGAGTGGAAATACATTTGATCAAAATGTTCATCTAGCCTATCACAGGTTCTGGTTTAGCACATCTATGTGGTTGCTATGAGTCTAGTTGGTTTCTGATTGTGGCCCTCAATGTTTTCTCAGTACTGGGCTCCTTAGTCTTGTGTGTGGTCTAGGTTGTATCTTTTCTTTGTTCCCTTTTGATTTATTTATGCATGCTTTAGCTCAACAGTTCTTTCAGCTGAATACTGAACAGACTGTACCCTATATCCTTGTTTTGTGTAGGGTATGTCCCTCCACATTGTCTGCATTTGGTATTGCTTGGGGTGTGCTTAATAGTGTCAATACCATTTCGTTTAAGGTCCTGTATATCAGCTAGTCAGTTATGTGCCATGCATGATATGTGCTAGGTGATCATGTATCTTTGATACAGGCAGAATTTTTTACCACGGTAGGTTGCCATTTCTTTTTGTAGTAGGCCAGTTGCCATCCAAAGCTATAGAACCCAGTTTGTCCTGTTACTTACCCGTAGCTTGAGGGGGGGGGTTGAAAAGAAGAGAATTCATACCTTAGGGTATTAGTGCATGTGAATGTAATGGATTCAACTGGAATTTGAACTCGGCTCTCCAATTCCTCAATCTGAGCCACTATCCATTACTCCACCGAGGCATGGTGGATATTGTACTCACAGTTTATCAATGATGATCTCTTTCCATGAAGGATTTTTTTTGTACATGGCAATCCTCATCTTTTACTGTCCACCATGTGGCCTGGCTATTCCTTCTTTTTTTTTTTTTATTATAGACTTTTTTTAAGTGCTGTTTTGATTCTTGTCTCACTCCTGCTCTTGTTTGTTGGGTTCATTTTGTTTTTTTTTGCTGCTGCCACCATGTAAACGGATTGATAGAACATGAAGACAGGTGTATGGCGCTAACCGCCTTGTTTGAACTGGCCGCTTTATTTTTAAAACGAAGAAAAGGATACTTCTTACTGAGTAGAGTTCTGCAAGGGAGACAATTCCAAATCATGACACTATCCACTTCTGAGGACTGTATAGCATTAACAAAGATAAAATAAAGAGTGTGTCATAAGGGTGGAGTACCAGAGACAGCGAGGAACACAAGTCCCTAGGTTTAACACGGGGCAACAAATGGGAGTATTCTGTCAACAATATGGTGAGATAGTAGACATCAACCTGGACAAGATGAGAGAATGGCAATTTAGCCCAATGCTCAATTGTAAAGCATTTAATGTCATTTCATTATGGCTGGAGCTAGATTGACAGAAAAACTAACAGTAATAGTATTTAGAAGGTAAGCCAGTTTGTTATTTGGGGAAAAAGGCCACCATCTATCTGCAGTCTGTCCCTGAAAAAAAAAAACAACAGAGAAAAAGGCAGCTGTCCCTTTACCCACCAACATGACATCAGGTGAAATGGTCTCATCAAATCTAAGGAATTTACCAGTACACAAAAAGGCTGCAGACAACAATGAGGAAGGAGAATGGAAACTGGTGGAGAATGGGAGGAAACATCAGTCAGCAACATATCAGTCCTTGTTGGGCTCCAGTCTTGACAGTAGAGGAGAGACATGCAAATTGTATGTGAAACATCTTGAAAACAAGAAGGACAAGGGCCATCCCAGGAAAGGAAAAGAAGAAGATCTTGAAAATGAAGCTGGATAAGAAGAATATCAATGAAAGGTTAGTGAAGGGAGCTGCCTCCCCCAACAGTAAGCATTTAGTGAGTGCAAAATAAACTTCCCTCATCCACTCTCTTTGAATTCGGAGGACTGAGGAAGAAGTAAAATTTTCTTTGGACCAATGAAAACCTTGCTTTCACAAAAATTAGCTGGTCAGCTGATAAGAAGAAGAAAAAAAGTAGTGAGTTGGCACAAAATTCTTTTTGATATAAAATGAGGAGAAAAATTAAATTAATCAGAGAAGAGTGTCTGAAGTCATGTGAAAGGTTTTGTTTCAGTTCTTCAGTATTGAAATTCTTGCCAGTGTAAAATTACTTGCCAATTATATTATCAGCCTCTAACCAACATGTGGCACTTCAAAGAATTTTTTTATCAATAATCCAAGAAAGCTATCTCTCTTCATCTACTTCTGAATGTATGCAAACCATATATCCTTTTAGTGAGCAACAAACTCC